TACAAACATCGGAAAACAACCTGGCAATGGCCGGGGCTCTGGGCGAGTGGAGCCGGACTGGTTGGGGTCAGCAGTCTCAGCGAGCCGACACTGCAGCGTGCGGCAGTTGAGAAACCACCAGGGCCCGTCGCACAAGCTATTCGGGATCTCGGAAGCTGCACAGAGTTTGCATCCGGGGAGCCGGTGCCAGGAGTCTGAGTCCATGCTCCACGGCTCGCTTCTTGCGCAGTCTCACGCCGGCCAGACTTAGGTGCTCGCTGTGGCTGTAGGTGAATCCTCTACTCGTCCCCGGAGTGATCCCTAGAGCTCAGTTTAGAGACTTGGTGACACTCGCGTTCGGACAGGCTCTCGGACTTAGAGGGCAGCCGCAGTGCGAACAAAAGCTCCAAGATGGCAAGCCTCCGGCTGAGCCACCGCTACATTGGGACGCGCCGGGTGGGATTCTGCTCCTTGGGGTCTCCAAACGCTTCCACAAAGACTTGGTCTAACGATATCTGAGCTTGAACCTTGCTGCAGCCTCAACTTCGAAGCACCTCTTAGTCGCATGGCGCTTCGGGTTGAGTCGCCAGAGAGGACTGAGTCCTCGCCCAAGAAACCTTGAGAGCCTAGGATAAGGCAGCTGACGGCTGCAGGGCCGCGGTCCTGAGGCCAGGTGAGACAAGCCCCTAAACCCCTACATGCGTACTAAAGCCTAAAAAGGGGGCTGGGCCTGGGAGAGCTTGGAAGCCTGGATCCGGGCGCACACGCAAAGGGACCATGGCCGGGGCCAGCCTTCGGAGACGAGCTTTGCACCCAGTGATGCGTACGCCCACAATGGGCAGGAGACTGACACCACAACAAGCTTTAGCAAGATAATGACAAATTCGACTGCGTGAGTGCAAGCTCCTGGGACGTCGAGATGATACTAGCAGATCCTGACCGTGCGTCAGAGACAAACACTTCAAGCCGGCTGCAACGCCACGGAATGGATCGCACTCACTGGGGAGTTGAACGCCGCCGCGCGCCTGGAAACTTGATTTTGACGCTAAGCCCAGCCCAGTAGCCGGTCTCTAGCTCCATTCAATGCCTGTGAGCGCGACATATCGGACGTCTGCACAGCAATCCTAAACCATTCTAGGTTTCCACAGCGGGGTCATTCGCCTCGCGTGCTAAGGCTCAGATTTCGGCAGATGTGACTTCAACCGCGATTCCAGAACTATCAAGGCTTTCCTGCCCACAGCCCTTATACCTCATGGCCATTCCCCCGGAAGGCTGATGTCCCTGGCCTAAGGAAAAGGACTTCGGGCTATTCGGTCACGAAAGGATTCGAAGCCTGGAACAGCAAGGCAGGGCCCCGGAAGCTCGCCTCCAGCTAGATGGTATGGATGATCTCAGAGAAGATTTCGCTGCAGCAGGCAGCCCTTCGATGTCGGTCTCGGGGTTCGGCCCGTGGGGCCTTGCTGCGTGCTTCCAATGCCAGCCTGGGGGCAGCGAAGTTCGGGTAATCGAGTTCGGATCCTTTTCACAGGCCTCCCAGGACTTGCAGAGAATGCACTCAGGTGGAGTTTGAAAACTATGCCATGGTATAAGAACAGTGATCTAATACCTTCGTGTACGTATACTACAAATATAGGCCCGTGTCGGCATGCAACCTTGAAGGGGTGAGGCATCAGAAAAACAGCATTAAACAGGCATCCAAACGCATTAAACCATAGGAAATGCAGCCATTCCTGATATCGGGCAATTCTAGGGTTTAGGGTTTCGGGATGTTCTTTTTGCAACGGTTGAGGGCTTTTCTCATTCTCACGTACATGGGCTGGGGCACGACACGATTTTCCTTACATTCTGGAAGGATTTCATGTCGGGGGCGCGCGATTCAAGATCAGGGATCAAGGCTGCAAGGCTGGTCTGAACGTGGCGGTGTCTCGTGCGTGTCCATATGACTCTCGCGTTGACGGGCGCAAGCTGTCTTCATTTATCTTACGGCTGCTGTGGTTCATTGACTTTTTGGTTCGATTGTCTTGCGGCTTGCCATGATTAGGAACCACGTGCAGTACTGGAGCAAAGCACCGAATCTATGAAAAGTAGGGGCGTGCTCCGAGAACGACGAATGTGCAGCAAAAACGTGACAAACTCGGAAAATACTAGCTAGGACACTGCAGGCTCAACTGAAGACTACGATACCTGGCCACCAACATACTGAAAGCTCTGTGGATGTTTTTCCATTCGACCCGCGTCCAAAAATCATAAACTATAAATCAATCTTAGCTGCCTGTGTCGTAGCACTTCGGTGATGGCCACAGGGTGCCAAAGCGCATGCCATCGGCCGTGCGGCAGGTGGCACATCAGAGTTTCGTGATGAACCACTTCCGCACGTGCTGTGCTTGAAAACAAGACACTGAAATGTGCAATGCTGAAGCCTGAATAGCTGCCGAGAGATTTACTACAAGGTGCCGTATCATTGCCGTTGTTTAGCTATTGTCATTCTTGTCAGTGCCATTATGCTCATGACTTTCCATGTGACTCGACACTTGGCTCAGAACGGGCTCTCGCAACTCGCACATAGCAAGGCCTCATCGCAACTGGGGCACCATTACGAAGCCAAAAGCCGACCCTCGAGCTTCGTTTAGAGCTTCGGGCTCCCTGCAAAACCACAGGAACTCGTAGCCAGCTCCACTTAAAGTGGTGCTTGATGTAAATAATGTTTCATTTGCAAAGCTGGCATGGGAACCGAACCGCTGGACGCTGTGGGATTGAGATGCACACGGGGCCTTGATAATGTCTTCTCTACCGAGCAAAACTGGCCCTGCCAGACATGGTTTTCTGCATGTCCCTTTGCGACATGCTTCGAAGTTGGAATTCTCTGAGTATGCCCTATTTTGCAAAACGCTTCACACTTTTCAATTTCCCTCTTGCACACAGGTCTCGGCTGTCTCGCTGGTCTTTCTGTCCGGAACAGAATTTCGAGTCCTGATTTTGTGAGTGTTCGTGCCGATTGAAAAGTCTGTGGGATCTTCATGTTTTCACGGATCTTCTTTTGCAGGTGGACAGCCTGCAGCTCTCTTCATGCCCGGAAAAGCAGTGCAACTGCAACTCGGACAAGACTTCGCAGCCCGAAAAGCCTTGCATGGAGATATTAATGCATGTTCGCTTGTTGCTTCGCTGGCCACACAACGAAATTCAGGAAAAACTGCGCAACCTTCCTTTTCCACGTTTGTGCACCTTGAGTTGTTGTGAGATGAGAAGATGCGAGCTTGGGAATGGCGCATCTCGTTCCATCACCAGCTCCTGCACGGTCTATCGCGACTTTGACGCCGCTGTCCTCCACTGGGCCACAGCTCCGCCAACACCGGCAGCATCCAGCGCGACGTACGGAAACTACTGCCACCAGATTCAGGAACAAGTCCTGTCCTCTTGCACAGGAGTTGCCCATCATTGCCATCACTGCAACACACAGTGTTTCAGACTGAACCTCGTACTGTAGTATATAGGATCATATTATATGAGTTGCGATGTTGACTCTGAAAGCTGTTGTCGCCGTTTACGACACCAAACAGGTAACCCATCTTTTCCTGGGTGTCTTGCATGTTTTGAAAATATAACTTTGATGCAGCTGGTTGCTTAAGCTAAGCTCCGGCGACAACCTCATCCGCCAGCTCACGCGCGCTACTTCTCAAAGTGGCCGCCCGAAAGGCCAGGCAGTTTCCACGATCACAGTAAGATGAAGGCAGCGCCAATGGCCACAGTGGCAGGTTTGCTACAACCGAAAAATGCCGAAAAACAGTGAAAATTGTAGTTACATTGGACATGCTGCTACTTGCTCACCGCGCTACACAAATGTTGAACCAAAGGCTTGCTTGAGAAGAAACGAAGCTCTTTCAAGGGAGGCCTCAGTGGCCTACAAGGCCTACGACGCGGGATGTCAACAACAGGTGAAGAACTCGCTGATAGCTTTCAATAACGAGGGTTCCGACACCCCAGCCCTGGGACAAACTATCTCTTCAACTCATGCCCCCTGCACACTTCCGGGCAAGCCTAGCTCGAGAATGTGCAACGATCCACGTCTTTTGTCAAATCATCGCCCGGTCGGCTGCCTCCGAGTGGGGCGCTGCTATCCGCTTACGGATGCTCTCGTCATGTCCTCAGCTTCATGAGGTGCCCATGATCTGGCTGGGACAGCAACTGCAAGATCTGCACACTGCTCCAAGAGACTTGAGCCCGGCACGTGATGCCAGCAGCAGCAGTTCTTCGAGGGTGCTTCGCCCTAAGAACGGCAAAGGGGACACGAACGCGAAAATAAAGTCTTCCAAAGTCAGCCTGAGGTTTGGGCGTAAGCACGACATCTGAGCCATCATGTGCTCCTCGCGCTCCTGTCACACGGTCTCGAAAGGCCGCAGCGACACGTTGTCAACTGTAAGCGGTGGCACCCAGCGTGCTGCTTGGACCCTCCTATTCAAGGCTGCTTGACTTATTATTGCACGTTTCAAACCCTGCAGACCCAGTGGTTCGGGAGGGGAAGTTGGTAGGAATAGCGCTTACTTGCCTGACCTGAACACTTTTACATTTTTTCCCAGGCCTCCTGGTCAGACGAAGGCCTCGTGTCCGATGCACTCCGAGCAAACAAAAACCAACGAAACGAGCCAACTTCGGGTTGCCAGTAGGGCCGAGGCTCTTTGATTGGAGGGCTGACCTGTGCCGATCGCTCGCAGCACTGGAGCTGTACTAGCGGACTTTGCATGGAGCCCTTCCGCACCTCCATTGGCAAAGGTGCGGAGCGTGAAGACCACAGTGTCTGTCAGAAACGAAGTCGAATGTCGCTCGTTGGCTTCACGGTGCTGACAGCTGAGTAGCTGAGTAGCCCACCTTAAGCTGGTGAGGGCCTCAAGGAGAACATGTGGTCATACACGCGCAGAGCAGCACGACTTCGTAGCTGAGGCAACAACTCGGCGTCTTGCCGAAGCTCACCTTCAGGAGGTCATTTCACACATTCGGCTCAGGTCTGATCTACGCAGGCCCCGCACCGCAGGAGGCTCATGAAGCATGGGACCGGAAAAACAGCGCAATACCTGCACGAGCACCGGGACTGTTATCTGTTAAGGGTTCAGTACGCCACTTCTGGAATGGGCTTGCGAAATGAGTCAGGAACATCAACACAGCTGATACAGTAGGCCCGTCTGTTTTGTTGAAAGGAGATTTACGCTTTCTAAAGGCAAACACATCACAACAAAGGCAAGCAGGGAATGGTTGCAGAGCTCTCCTCCGGTCCTCTTGAACCCTCCTTTCCAGCAGATGGGAGCAGCCGTCTGTAAATGTGGATTGTGCACAAAGAACCTATGCGCAGGCATGATTCCTGCGTTCGCTAAAGACATGGCATAAGAGTGTGAAATGCCATTAGCGGGTGGTCATACTTGAGTTTGCATCGTGGCGTGTCTGTTCGTAGCTGGACGATGAAAGCATGCTTCGGAGGTACCCCGACTGTCATGACAAGAGCATACGGCAGAATGAGTGCGAAGGACACATGTATATCCGCTAGCTCAAGAGGCTTGACATGGCTGCCAAATCTGCGAGGCTGAAGAATCCCGGCAAGACAGAGCCTATAGTGGCTACTTGTAGCACAGAGTCTTGATTGTCGGGCTGCCGAGGTCTTCTTAACCCTCACACAAACAGCAAGGCAACAATCCATCTCCCACGACCGCCTCCCGCAGAACCTCTGGAGCCAAGGCAGCATCCATTTCGGCCGCCTGGGGTGTGCCACGGGCTGGAAGCAAACTTGCACTTCTTCGCGCTTTTTTGCGCTTCCCCCGGCCTCAAGCGCTCTCAGGCGTTTTGCAGGGGGTTCTGCTATGTCCGTTTCCATGGGTGAGCCGGTGCCAGCTCCGTCCTGGCTGAGCGTGCTATACTCGCCGCCCCATGCCAGCTCCACGCTGTGCTGAGCTCCCCCATCTGCCACAATCACAAAGCGCTTCTGCAGCTGCTTCGAAGACACCTGGTAGGGTCTCAGCTCATCCGTGGGCTCCTCATCTGCATCGGTTGGGTTTGACACGTCCCGTGGCCGGTTGGCCAGCTGATGCGTCAAGCCACAACCCCACACAAAGAGGTCTCCGCCCTCAGTGCTGGCCAACATGTGATGGCCTGCGCATCGCAGCGCTCGCACTCTCGGAAGCCCCTGAACTTCTCGAGGCTGCAGCACCGGAGGGTCCTGCAACAATGCAACGGATGGTGCCCAGTTCAAGCTAACAGACTCGCGTGAAACATCCCACTTTCTTACTCACAGCTTCCAAACCCTGCCGCGCGGCATCTAAGGGGATCAGAAAGATAAACCAAAAGAGCTGAAGGAGATCAACACAAACGGAAGCTCGCACCTGCCTTCTCCCCCAGACCAATGCCGCATTCCTCTGCCTTGCCCCACGTGAACACGCGTCCGTCCACCAGCGCTGCGCTGCTGTGCAGTCCACCTCCTATCCAGGAAGCCCTTCGCACAGCGGGCACGGCCTGAAGCTGCTGTACGGCCATGCTCACAAACCCAAGTCCAACCTGACCATCGCCGTTCAACCCACAGCCAAAAACGGCACCGTCCTCGAATGCTACGAAACTGCACTCGGCACTGGCATGCACCGCAGAAGCAACATGCTCCCCAGCGCCAACTTCCAGCGGTACCTGTTGTGGCTGTAGCAGTTTCTGCTTCTCTGGTTTGGGGACCTCCCGCTCTGCAAGCTGCAGAACCAGAGCAGTTGCACCATGCACCACGGCTTGCTGGACCTGTTCCGCAGTCATGGAAGTAGCGGCACGCACAGA